AGTTGACGTACAGCCAGGTAGCCAATACAAAGCAAACGACAAGAAGAATGATCGGTTTGAAAGATGTCACTGATTCCTCGTAAACCACCAAATCATCTGATTCGTCCACTTCTTTACTGAGAAGTGGTACATCGACAAGAGAACTTTCAAGAGATTTATGAATTGGTACCAAGTTGGACATGATGAGAATAACAGAACAAGTGGAAGGGATTTGCTACGTTTCGATAGGAATGGAAACTTGAGATAAAGATCGGATTTAGCTGTGTCCGTCGGTTGAAAAAAGCATAAGGAGAATGAGAAGAACACTTGGAAAATCGATTGGTGAGGGAGACAGTGAAGATCAGGAATGATAAATTTAGCAGGAAAATTATTGATTAAACTTGATTAGTGTTACTGGTTTATCTGAGGATTTTTTGGTTTCGATGATAGGTCCTTACTTGGTGGAACTCGCACTTGTCGATCTCCTGGTGACCCTGCCCTGTCCGGCCTGGCACAGTAGCCGATTAAAAAAATATTGAGAGCAATTTACCGAATTCCACCTCAAAGAAAAGTTTGCAAGATATTTGGCTCTTTTCATAAAAACTTGGAAAATTTGCAAAAGGGCGCACAGTTTGAACTGATTCTATCTGCATACAGCGTAGTTAGTCAAGTAAGCCACTAATTTTTTTCCTACGCTCTGGCTGAAAGTAGAGGATCATTCTGAAAAATATTCAACTGATTGATGATCTCTTGTTTTGGTTTTGCAATAAGATACAGTTACTTCAAACGCGAATTACTTTTCCACAGCCCTAATAGTTTCGAGAAGTATTTAAGATTACCGATTTTGTCAATTTTATTTGATAGCAAAACTACTAACAAAAATATAAGTTGATTACTTTGAATTTCCTCAAATAGAAGCCCACCCGAACCATCAACTTTTATCTTTATTATCTCGATTCCTGTGGAAGATAACAAACTCTTTATATCTTTCACAGGAACCTAGATAATTGAACTCAAAATTCGGTGGGTTTCTATTAAAGAAAATACGGTAATTATGGAGAAATGTATATCACGAAAAATACATACCGAGCCCTTCCCATCACATCAGAATATGATCTTCTCAGAAATGCAGATCATATTTTGTACATTAGAAATCCCACACCCTTTCAGTTCAAAAATTGTGTTCGACGTGTTTTCCCTCTTCTCCTCCGTTTCCGCTTCTTCCAATCAAGTCAAATTCGACAAAAGTGTACAAAACAACGACGTCCGACCGATTCATAAGATACAAATCGGCATTCTCTCCAGTTCCTGGTGTACGTTAGCTTCTTCTTCCTTCAGTTAAATCTATTTTGGCATTCCCTTTTCTTTTTATTCTATGCGAATTCAACTGCATCGTCATTTAAACTATGTATTATCACTGATGCTCGTATTCTTTTTTATGATTTACGTTTTTACAAGATCCGATTTGAATTTGGAAGATGTATGAGAAATAATTTCGATGTATGAAGGTTGATCCTATTTGGAAATCTTGTTGTTAACTTGTAAATAAAGTTTTGTATTTGTTTTCTCAATAAAAACTTCGAATTTTTGTTTTTTTTTTGTCCATGATCCAAAAACAATATTCAGGAATAGAACAGAACAGTGAAAATAAAGCAATAATTAGTCCAGCATCAGGAAAGGACTATTTTTCTGGAAGAAATAGAGTCAAAGCTGGAAAAATCTCTCTAATCACTTTTTTATATATTTTCAGAAAAACTAGAAAGTTGCGTCAAAGTTGACCATGAAGGGCAGTGTATTACGGATTTTACAATATACAAGCGGTTTCAAAACCATTTTATATTGGCCGTTCTGTGCAAACAAATACATGACCACTGGTGAAAAAATATGGGTTTACTTCAATTTTATCAGAGTTTTATCGTTGATTTTTGAATGTTCCAGGTCGACGCAACATTTTTCAGAAGTTATTCCTTTACAGTTTTCGAATGTTCTTTTCCAATTATCAATCAAACCGTTATGAAGAACCATTTTTAATCAACAAAAATTCGGAAGACAAACATTTTGAAAATGTATGGAACGGCGTTAGAATAAAACCACGAAACCTACAGGTATTAAAAAGTTAATTTTTGATGCGCACCAGAATCTAAGGTTACATCGAGTTGTATAGTACATTGGATCCGAAGATCCATGGAATTCTGGGAAGTATCGCGTTTTAGCCTTAATAGGGAATGGTGCAAACGGGTTATGAAGTTATGGCGCATGACCTACATCCCTGGAAAGTTAATAAAAAGTTATTTGTGAATATGCAATCTGAATATGCTAAGCGGTATACAGCTCCGAAAAAATTACGTCTTGAGCCATTCACTAGATATTTCCTCAATTTCATAAAAAATTTTAGATAGCGTAAACAGTAAATGAATAAATCCAAAATTTGTATTAAAATTGAGGAAAACAGTAGTAAATCCAGATCTTGAAAACTAATTTTCTCCGAGCTGTCCACCGCTTAGCAGATTTTGATTGTATATTTGTAAATAACTTTTTCTTAGCTTTCCAATGTTACCATGTACCATTACTCCATGACCAATTTGCACCATTCTTTAGTAAGCCTAAAATTTTTAGATATTTTTCGATAGAGTCTGTTAAAAAATATTAGCTTTTTGCTTCGTCCTCCAACATGTACTGCAACGTTTCATCTATCATTGGAACTAATCTATCCTACAAACTAGATGTAACCTTGAATACTGGGCCGATGGCGTTCCTCATTCGCTCAAAACGTTCTGCTTTCAGATGCAGAAAATAAAATTATATTGGAAACTATTTGTGATACCTATATTTTTACTTGTTGCTTTTGGAATTGCTTATGTGAGCTACTTCAGGCACACGGAAACACCCCATATGCACGACTTTGGTATGTGTTTCATTTTATCTGATTTTTCTTAAATTTTCATTAAGATCCTGGTATCAGTGACAAACGAAAAGTCGCCATTTATGAGAACATGATAGATGCTTTGAGAGATGAAAACTATGGTTCTTCTGTTGATTATCAAAAAAGAGCAGAAACCAATCATATTCAGTGTGGGAGAGTATTGAGTGGAGATACAGTAAGTTTACGAGGTAATTAATGCAACGTCCATAAAACTTTTAGGAATACATCAACACTCTCGTGGGAGAAAACCGTATACCACTCATCGAGAATCGCCGTTTGAACATGTCTTGTCCGGCAATTCAAGATCGAATTCATTCCGAAACCCGAGATTTTAAATTATTGGATTCTGGCATTGCATTTGCGAGAGTGGTTTACACCGATTACGAATTCATTGAAAAACAGTTGGAGATGTCGTGGCATCCACAGAACGTCTTCTGTTTCACTGTTGATAAGAAGTCACCGGACGAATTTATTTCGAGAATGCAGAAGTTGGACGAATGTATGGAAAACGTTGTAGTGCTTCCTGGTATATGTGGAATGTTGTCCGAAATTCCAAACTTTATAATTTCCAGTTCTCGAGAACTACGATAGTTCTGGTCACAATATGAACATTGGACACAAACGATGTATGGAGGCGTTGTTACCCAAAACTGACTGGTCTTATATTCTACTTCTTCAAAACCACGATGTCATTATAAAATCTGTTTATGAGATCTCGAAAATCTATAGTCTCTTGGGAGGTGTTAATGATGTGCATTTTGGAAAAGAAATTGATGGAAGAAGAGTACCAGGATTGAAGTGGGATCCTAGAAGTATGAATCTATTCATAAATGGTAAGATTTGAAGGAAACAAAAGTATCTGATTTTTCGTAAAACAGAATCCGGAATCAACGAAAAAGTATTGAATGAGCCTATGAGGGTATACAGTGGTGCTGTGCAAGTATCCCTGACAAGAGCAGCTGTGAAGTGGTTGATTGAAGACGTGGATGTAAGCATTGCAATTAAGCAATTCAATCAGACTGTGAGTGATTTTATATCTTTCCCAAAAACAATGAAGCATTTATAGAAGTATGGCGGGGATGAGCAATTGATTCCAAGTCTCTATCTGAATTATGAATATGGGATGCCAGGACATTTCACAGATCAGTGTTTAGAATATCAAGGCATCGATCAAATCATACGGTTTGTAACTGGTTTATCAAAGTGTTTTCAAAGTAGAACCTCTCAGATTTGTCCAATGGGTCCGCGGAGGTATCAACGACTGTCCTACGAAAAGTTTTCGACATGGAGTTTGCCTAATTGGGATTGAACAGTTCCGAGCTTTATCTAGAATGCCTTTCATCACAGTTAACAAAGTAAATCATCATCGTTTAATTTAATTGATATTGAATTAATTTCAGATGGTTCCCTCATTCGACTATTCAATTATCGAGTGTACATCAGAACTCCTCTATAATCGAACATTCTTAGGTCAGATGGACCATGAATTGGATGAAAGTTTCTATAAAGAATTGTTACATGTGAGTCGGAGTGATTACTTGGAGAATATGAATAATATTTGAGGTCAAATACCATAAGCATCACGAAGATCCTGAGTACAAATTGGATTGTAGCTCAAATCAAAACCCGTGGAAGTACGAATACTATCTGTGATCTCATATTTATATTTTTCGGGTTGCTAGTAAAGTTGATGCTGTCATTGAATAAAATGTTTTCCTTCCTTTCATGTTCCTCATATTTTCAAAAGAAGACTTCAGAATCTGGAATCTGTGACAAAGTTTTTACAAAATACAGATTTGACAATATACAAGCCGTTTCTAAACCAATTTACATTGACCGTTCTGTGCAATCAAATACATACATGACCACTGGCAAACAAATATGGGTTTACTTCTATTTTATCAGAGTTTTATCGTTTATTTCAAATGTTTCAGGTCGACACAACATCTTTCAAAAGTTATTCCTTTACAGTTTTCGAATGTGCTTTTATCAACCAAACCGTTATGAAGAAGTGCTTTTAATCAACAAAAATTCGGATGAAGAAGATAACGAAGATGTATGGAATGGTGTTGAAATAGAACCACGAAACCGAAAGGTATTTAAAAAATTAGTTTTTTTTGGGATTAGGATCCAAGAGTACATCGAGCTGTATGGAACATTGAGTCCCAAGATACACCCTAATTTTTGTTTACCTGATATGACAAATTCCAAGTTTGTAGAACATGCAAGAGAAAAGAAAGTGATACATACATGCATAAAAGTTATAGAGTTCCTTCGTTCGTATGCTATCATAATATATCATAATATTATTTGTATAGCATTTAACAATAGAACCTGGTTCTGTGAACGGAGAAATCTAAACTGACGTTCCTTATTCGCTCAAAACATTCTGCTTTCAGATGAAGAAAATAAAGTTATATTGGAAACTATTTGTGATACCTATATTTTTACTTGTTGCTTTTGGAATTGCTTATGTGAGCTACTTCAGGCACACGGAAACACCCCATATGCACGACTTTGGTATGTGTTTCATTTTATCTGATTTTTCTTAAATTTTCATTAAGATCCTGGTATCAGTGACAAACGAAAAGTCGCCATTTATGAGAACATGATAGATGCTTTGAGAGATGAAAACTATGGTTCTTCTGTTGATTATCAAAAAAGAGCAGAAACCAATCATATTCAGTGTGGGAGAGTATTGAGTGGAGATACAGTAAGTTTACGAGGTAATTAATGCAACGTCCATAAAACTTTTAGGAATACATCAACACTCTCGTGGGAGAAAACCGTATACCACTCATCGAGAATCGCCGTTTGAACATGTCTTGTCCGGCAATTCAAGATCGAATTCATTCCAAAACCCAAGATTTTAAATTATTGGATTCTGGCATTGCATTTGCGAGAGTGGTTTACACCGATTACGAATTCATTGAAAAACAGTTGGAGATGTCGTGGCATCCACAGAACGTCTTCTGTTTCACTGTTGATAAGAAGTCACCGGACGAATTTATTTCGAGAATGCAGAAGTTGGACGAATGTATGGAAAACGTTGTAGTGCTTCCTGGTATATGTGGAATGTTGTCCCAAATTCCAAACTTTATAATTTCCAGTTCTCGAGAACTACGATAGTTCTGGTCACAATATGAACATTGGACACAAACGATGTATGGAGGCGTTGTTACCCAAAACTGACTGGTCTTATATTCTACTTCTTCAAAACCACGATGTCATTATAAAATCTGTTTATGAGATCTCGAAAATCTATAGTCTCTTGGGAGGTGTTAATGATGTG